AGGTTGCATAAGATTAAGTACATTAACCGAAAACTGAAACTACCCACAACTGATGCTCTTACTATTTGCTGGTGGCTATAGCAGTACTCGCTTTTTCCCTTTTGCAGTCGGTCCAAGTTTTGCGGGAGAATTGCATTACTAAAGACTAAATGTGCTTAGTTGGTTTTTGTAGGAATGGGGAAAGCTAAACCAAAAACCCGGCAACCAGCAGCCTCACCTGCTAAAAGGAAGGCTCCTTCTTCTCGTCGCCGCCAAACCCAAGAACGAGACACTCCCCCCAAACGACAACGCAAAAACAACCAAGGACGGGCACGCCAACCATCTCCACCACCACCACAAGCGGAGGCTCAACTTGGAGGAGGGAGACTTCACGGCTTCCTCCAATTACCCGTCGAACATAGGAAGGCTTTGGAGCGCTTCCTTCCCCTCCCATTTGGGCAGCAAAGATGCTTTGATTGGGATCTCCTAGAGCGCCTCGGAGCAGCGGAACCCGTTCGCACATGCCTCCGTCTCCCGGCATGGTGTGAGGTTCTCTCCATCAATGAGGTCATCTACCGAGAGCTTACCATTGAGTTCCTCAGCACTCTCTCCATCAAGAGAATGTCCGAGTTTAACCTCGACAAGCCCGAAGACAACATAACTTTTCGCCTTGGAGGACAGGCGAGACAGATGAGCATCACTGAGTTCACAGAGGCACTCCAGATATACCCACCAGGATTTCTCACCACAGGTGGACATGGTTTTATTTCGGAGCAAATATATCATTCAAGAGCAGAATCGGTCAATGCTATGTGGAGAACGGTAAAACAAAACCATGTGGACAAGTCTGACCCTGCCCACTATAAAGGGAATGATCTTCTTCCCCCGTGGCGTATCATCCACAACATTATCGCTCATTCTGTGGCAGCTAGGGAGGGGAGCCCGGGGAGTGTGACCAAGCGGGATTTGAACTTTTTCCTCTCTATGGTAAAAGATCCCCCAATTCATCTTGGTATAGTCATATTGAAAACCCTACAGAAGATCACCTCCAACAAACAAATCAAGACCATCCATGGAGGTGCCTACATCACAAGGCTAGCTCGGCATTTTGGCATTGATCCGGTGGGTTCTCATTGCACCATTGCCCAGTCCACTCAACCAATCTCCCAAAAAAACCTTGCGGATCTAAATTTGTTGTCAAAGGTAAATGTTCCAACCAACACTTTCCTTTTCACAGTGAATGCTAAAACATAACTAGTCGGGATTCAAACAATCTAGGATTGATTTTGTGCAAGTTTTGGATTGCCTACTAATCTAGTTCCTTTTGAACATTGAGCAAATGTAACTAATGCTTCTGATATTGATCATGTCTGTGTTTGGTGGTTAAGGAGAATGGTGTGGTAGGCATTGTTGGCCTCCCTCATCCTGCTCGACCTCTTGCAACAGATGAGGCAAACGCATCGGAGCATGTTGTTCAGCAAATGGTCGAGGAGACTCCGGAACAACCTGCACAACATCACCAAACTACGACTCAAGCCGGACCATCCACCGACAGCTACATATCCCATTTTGAGGCATTGGGTCGGCAGAATGCCCAAATTCTGGAGCAAAATGCACTCATTCTCTCCCGCCTCGATCGAGAGAAGGAAGCTCGACGCTACATCATCGAATGCAACCATCAGATCATGAGGTCCTTGAGGATTGACTACGAACAATTCTCAAGACCTTGGGAACTATCTCCTAGGCCAACCGAGGAGATCAATGAAGAGGGAAGTGAAGAGGATGACGAGGGTAATGACGATGAGCAAAACAAGGAAAAAAATCAAGAGGACATAGGAGAGGAACAAAACAAGGAAAGCAGTGAAGAGGACAATGACACCAATGAGGAAGACAGCAGTGAAGAGGACGACGACGAGGGCAATGGCGATGACCAAAACAAGGGAAAAAATCAAGAGGTCAGAGGGAACGATGAGGAAGACAGCAGTGAAGAGGACGACGACGAGGGCAATGGCGATGACCAAAACAAGGAAAAAAATCAAGAGGAGAAAGGAGGGGAACAAAACAAGGAAAGCATTGAAGAGGTCAAAGGGACCGATGAGGAAGACAGCAGTGAAGAGGACGACGACGAGGACAATGGCGAAGACCAAAACAAGGAAAAAAATCAAGAGGAGAAAGGAGAGGAACAAAACAAGGAAAGCAGTGAAGAGGACAGTGACACCAATGAGGAAGACAGCAGTGAAGAGGACGACGACGAGGGCAATGGCGATGACCAAAACAAGGAAAAAAATCAAGAGGAGAAAGGAGAGGAACAAAACAAGGAAAGCATTCAAGAGGACAAAGGGACCGATGAGGAAGACAGCAGTGAAGAGGACGACGACGAGGGCAATGGCGATGACCAAAACAAGGAAAAAAATCAAGAGGAGAAAGGAGAGGAACAAAACAAGGAAAGCATTCAAGAGGACAAAGGGACCAATGAGGAAGACAGCAGTGAAGAGGACGACGAGGGCAATGGCGATGACCAAAACAAGGAAAAAAATCAAGAGGTCAAAGGGACCAATGAGGAAGACAGCAGTGACTCTAGCGAGGACAATGAAGATGAGCAAATCCAGGAAAACAAAGACGAGGACGAGAACACTAACGAGAAAGATGGGCAGTGAAGATGAGCCAACCAAAGTCCTTAGTACTTAGCTATGTGTGTTTGCTTTTGTGCTTGTATGTTTTCGAATTAGAATATTATGATGCACCAGTGTGGGCTACATGCATCTAAACTTAAGCATTAATCGTGTTATGGATGTTTGTTTTATAAGACAAATGTAAAGCTTTGACTGCTTTTTACTTTTTGTTAACAGGGTATCTCATCTGATATGATGTACAGTTACTAGAGAAGGATCTATGTAATGCTCGTGTCAAGCTTCAAAGAACATTATGACTCATCTTTTCATAAGCTTGTAGTTTTCACAAACAGTATATTATGTTACTTGCACCATTATAATAAGTACAAGGGTTAGTTGTACAGGTGCATGTCTGTGCAGACTATTTCTGGAAATCTCACGGCCAATTCTGGAAATCCCACGGCCGTGAAAGAAGACGTGGTTTTGGATATGTAATTCTGGAAATATCACGGCCGTGAGATAGGCCGTGAGATAGGCCGTGAATGTAAAAACGCACGTCTCAGTTTCCCAGAGGGTTTCACGGGTTGCTTTCGACATTATCACGGCCGTGAGATGAGCCGTGTTTTGGAATTGAATGCTGTACCTCTCACGGCTCATCTGTTGATTCTCACGGGCGTGAGAATAAGCCGTGTGATTGTCTGGAGATAGGAAAACTACTTTTGCTTGTCACGGGTCATGTCACGGCCGTGAGATGAGCCGTGTTTCCTCAAAATTGTACCTACACTTTCTAGAGTTGTACCTTTACACTAAATTTAAAGTTGTACCTACACTTTCCTAAAAATTGTACCTATACACTATAGTACAACTTAATGTTGTACCTACACTTTCTAACAAATCCCTCTATGGTACAACTCAAAATTGTACCTATACTAATGGTACAACTTTTAGTTGTACCTACACTTTCTCAAAATCCTTCTATGGTACAACCCAAACTTGTACCTATACCATGGTACAACTTTAAGTTGTACCTACACTTTCTAAAAATCGGTCTATGGTACAACCCAAACTTGTACCTATACCTTGGTACAACTTTAAGTTGTACCTACACTTTTTCAAAATCCTTCTATGGTACAACCCAAACTTGTACCTATACTAATGGTACAACCTTAAGTTGTACCTACACTTTCTCAAAATTCTTTTATGGTACAACTCAAAATTGTACCTATACTAATGGTACAACTTTTAGTTGTACCTACACTTTCTAATAAATCCCTTTATGGTACAACTCAAAATTGTACCTATACTAATGGTACAACTTTAAGTTGTACCTACACTTTCTAATAAATCCCTTTATGGTACAACTCAAAATTGTACCTATACTATTGGTACAACCTTAAGTTGTACCTACACTTTTTCAAAATCCTTCTATGGTACAACCCAAACTTGTACCTATACTATGGTACAACTTTATGTTGTACCTACACTTTCTAACAAATCCCTTTAAGGTACAACTAAAAATTGTACCTATACGAATGGTACAACCTTAAGTTGTACCTACACTTTCTAACAAATCCCTTTATGGTACAACTAAAAATTGTACCTATACTAATGGTACAACCTTAAGTTGTACCTACACTTTTTCAAAATCCTTCTATGGTACAACCCAAACTTGTACCTATAATATGGTACAATTTTAAGTTGTACCTACACTTTCTCAAAATTCTTTTATGGTACAACTCAAAATTGTACCTATACTAATGGTACAAATTTAAGTTGTACCTACACTTTCTAATAAATCCCTTATGGTACAACTCAAAATTGTACCTATACTAATGGTACAACTTTAAGTTGTACCTACACTTTCTAATAAATCTCTTTATGGTACAACTCAAAATTGTACCTATACTAATGGTACAACTTTAAGTTGTACCTACACTTTCAAAAATCCTTCTATGGTACAACCCAAAATTGTACCTATACCATGGTACAAATTTAAGTTGTACCTACACTTTCTAACAAATCCCTTATGGTACAACTAAAAATTGTACCTATACTAATGGTACAACCTTAAGTTGTACCTACACTTTCTCAAAATTCTTTAATGGTACAACCCAAACTTGTACCTATAACATGGTACAATTTTAAGTTGTACCTACACTTTCTAATAAATCCCTTCATGGTACAACTCAAAATTGTACCTATACTAATGGTACAACTTTAAGTTGTACCTACACTTTGTGAAACAAATTCTTCAATGGTACAGCTGAAACTTGTACCTATACTAATGGTACAACTTTAAGTTGTACCTACACTTGTATACATTGATTCATTATTTACAAGATTGCCATTAATGATGTGGGACCAGTCATTTAGTGGGTTTACCTCCTCAATAGGTCACCTTTTTTTTTTGTTTTTTATAGCATGGGTGCTATAAAGCACACTAGAAGGGCTCACTCTATGTATGGGAGAACTTCCTTTGAGTTGTATAGCACATATCGGTGAGCCTGAACCCAAGAAGTAGGATTAAGGATAATATTTTCTACTTTTCCAATGGGATGACCTGAAGTAGTGTTCACAGGGGAATCTTCCGTTCTCAACAGATCCATGTCATCACTATTTCTTGCAGGTTTATTAAATCTTGTTCTGACTCCTTCAAAGTATCTAGAGCAAAATGTAATTGCTTCATTTGCAATGTACCATTGAGCAATTGAGGCTTCAGGATAAGCCTTGTTCCCAACATGAGCTTTGAGTGTCATCAAGTACCTATATTGAGAATACATTTTTCATAAGCAAATAATATATTGCATAGCTTAAAGAGTAGATGGAGTCCAAACATTTCAATGGAAAATCTCAGCTATGATAAGGGCTAGAATGCCAAAACAGAAACAGTAAACTGAAATTAAAACAACCCACCCAATTTCTTGATAAGAATTATCTTCAATGAGAAGTCAACAAACCACATAAAATATTAAAATCTAAGAGCATATATATGTGTGTGTGTCGTGACTAAAACTCAAAAGTTAATATCAAAGTACGTAAATTAAATGTGTACCTCTCTATTGGATACATCCATCGATATTGCACGGGTCCATTCCATTTGGCCTCTTCTACAAGATGTACGACCAAGTGGACCATGATAGTAAAAAATGATGGAGGAAATATCATCTCCATACGAGCCAATATTTCTCCAATCTCTACTTCCATCTCCTCAAGACGACTTACTTTAAGAACTTTAGAACTTAGTTCTCTAAAATAAGCACTCAAATCAATTAAGGCTCTAGCTACTCTATCTTTCAGACATCCCCTCACTGCTACCGGTAACAAATCATGTAGTAATACATGACAATCATGACTTTTCAAACCACTTATCTTCTTGTGTTTCACATCTACACAACGAGATATGTTGGAAGAATAACCATCAGGTACCTTCACATGTTTTAGCACACGAAGCATTTGTTTTTTCTCTGTCGAAGACATCTCAAAAAGAGCGGGGGCTGCTCTGTATTTCCCAGTAGACAACTCAAATGGGTGAAGAGTGTGTCTTATACCCATTTCCTGCATATCAAAGCGAGCCTTCACGTTATCCTTGGTTTTCCCTCGAACACTTAACAATGTGTCTAAAATGTTATCACATACATTCTTTTCAATGTGCATGACATCAAGGTTATGTCTAACTCGATTGTACTCCCAATAAGGAAGACGAAAAAATATGCTTTTCTTTTTGCACCCCTCCGTGATGTTTATGTTTGTACCATTTAGATCCCTTGTTGATCCATTAGAATCCCATAAATCACGAATGCAAGATCCGGTCATCCGAACAGGTGGTCCTCTCAACTCTTCTGTGCCATCAAAACATTTCTTATTTCTTCTCCATGAATGATCATAGCTTAAAAAACGACGATGCCCCAAAAAACAATATTTGTTACCATGCTTTAACCATTTTGACCAAGTATTGAAGCCACAGCATGGACATCCATAGCCTGTTTTCGTTCTCCAACCTGATAACATGCTATAAGCCGGAAAGTCATTTATAGTCCATAGCAACGATGCATGCAACTTGAAAGTAGTCTTCGCGTGAGCATCATATGTATCAACTCCTTTTTCCCATAAATGAATCAACTCTTCAATAAAGGGCTCCAAGTAGATGTCTATATTAGCTCCGGGTGATTTAGGTCCAGGAATGAGTAAGCACAAGAACAAAGAAGACTGTTTCATGCATAACCAGGGCGGCAGATTGTAGGCAGTTACAACCACTGGCCAACTGCTATGAGTGCTACTTAATGACCTAAAAGGGTTAAACCCATCAGTGGCCAATCCTAGTCGAACATTGCGCGGCTCCTTAGCAAAGTCAGCATATCGACTATCAAAATCTTTCCATGCACGAGCATCCGCAGGGTGTCTCAAGTACCCATCGTCCCTGCGTTCATCAAAGTGCCACCTCATTAAAGAAGCCGTCTTTTTGCACATGAATAACCTTTGAAGTCTTGGAATCAGAGGAAACCAACGGAGTACTTTCACTCCCTTTCGAATCTTGTTTCTTTTTGAAGTCGATGAACTTTCAGTCTCTTCCTTGTATCTGTATGCATTACAGTGTAAGCATCTAGGCTCATCAATATGTTCTTTCCAGAACAGCATACAATCATTTGGGCATGCATCGATTGTTTGGTAATCAAGACCCAATGCATCAATTAACTTTCTGACTTCGTAAGATGACTCTGGAAGTTTTTCCCCTTCAGGCAACGTCTCCCTCATTGTGGTCAGTAAGTCCTCAAAAGACTTATCACTCCATCCATACATACACTTCTTGTTGTATAACTCAAGGATAAATGAGAGTTTGCTATGCTTACGACATCCACTAAAAAGTTCCTCGTCAGATTCTTCCAATAAATCATGGAACCTTTTGGCATATTCATATGCCTCAGTTGGTTGGGTGTCATCATCAATAGTGGAGCTATCACCCCAATCATTTTCTACCCTGGTTGATCTTGAATTTTCAATCTCATCAGAACCAACAGCCATATCCTCAAGAAACTGTTGAACGCCGTGTTGCTCTTGTGCATCAACTTCTCTTAGTCCATCATCATTTTGGTGGGAATAACTAGAATCACTAGTTTGAGAGGTTGGATCTCTGTGGAAAATCCAATCTGTATACCCCGGCGAGAACCCATTTTCCAGTATATGAGAAGAAACAACACCTGGTGAGAACCGATGCATGTTCACACACTTTCGACAAGGACAAGCAAATCTTCCATCTCTCGCGGAAGCTTTGGCAAAAAGAATAAAATTATAAAGCCCTTTCAAAAACTTAGCACTCAATCTATTAGGCTCATGTATCCAACTTCTATCCATTGTTCTCACAGGCCTACAAATTTAGAATCATGTTCGCAAGTCAAAAACTGGAATCTCAATGACTAATAATAATAATGTATAAAAAGTGCAGCATTGATAGCTATATTATACGGAGCAATTGCGGTGCATGAAAACTTTACAACACATATGAGAGATGCCACTGCCACAAGCCTAAACTACACACAACCTATCCATTGCATAATATATATAAGATTCAAATGCAAATATGTAGCATTCCTCTTTGGACTTCAGGGCTGGACAGTTCTGTAACCTAGCACTAGAGTACAGAGATCAAAGCATGCATTGCATTCATCACAAGGTCCAGAAAAGGTCACACTGACCGTAGGGAATAGATTCACGAAATTAGATGCTAAATGATAAAACCCATTCCCCTACTTGACAGTGTATGCATCTATACATGCAGGTTGGATAGATGACCTGATTAAGACAATCAATTCACTGGAGATACTTGAGCTAAGAATCTAAGGGTTACCTTGTACTGGGATCTTCAAGTTCCTTCTTTATCTCCTCTAAGAAGCTGACTTGTGTGGTAAGGGTTACAACTGTTAATTAGTGCGAGGATAAGTCAGCAACTTCATACCTATGAGGTAGAAGTGAAGTGAAGTGAAGTGATGATAAAATAAGACATGTACCATACATATATACCTTGGACTTACGTAGAAGATGTTGAGGCAATAATTAATGAGATCCCTGAGCACAAATCCAAGCAAATCAATAAGAAGCTTAAGATGAAGTTTATGCACTCCGTATATAAGCGGGGACAACTTCCAGATACCATCTCCACTTTCTCCCAAGGAAATGAATACTGCAAAAGAAACTCTGCCTGCCCCATGTAATAATCAAAGACAGCACACACAATCGGATTTATCAAGAATGTCTTCCACTCTCTCTAATGGCTTCCATCGCTTCTTTAGATCTCGACAATCTTCAGCACTTGATTTCACCAAGACATGCAACCCATCCATATAAACAATCAATTTTCTGGGACCCGAGAGATACAGCAAAAGCATTAATCAGTTCGTACATCCAATTATCTGTAATTGACAGAATCCCCAGCAGTTCATTTAATTGGTCCAAAACCCTTCCTCTATCTTATTCGATAAGTCCACATTCTTCTCCTCAAGCACGTCAAATCCCAAAAGGCTAGACTCAGCTCTCAACGGAGAAAGAAAATATATCTAGTATTGATCATCAACCAAACAGGGGAACTGGGAACAGGTTTTGATCATTCAACTTTCACTAGCAAGCAAAACTTAGGAACTGCGTTATCAGAAGAGAAACAATGGGTGGATGTTATGGTTCGGAGAAGCGATATCCACTAACTTACTAGATGTTTACCTTTTCTTGGCAGGAGGCTTGCAACAACAAAGAGCGGTATCCTGATACACCAGAAAAAACAAAACGGATTATGAGATTAGCGCAACGCGTTGTCAATAGAAGAACAAAGAACAAGGAGGGAGCGGCTCTAGTGCTCTACCTCCAGTAGCGGGCTCTATTCTCCAGAGCTCTCTTTCTTTTTCTGTTTTAGTTTAGGTGATTTCTCGTGCCGCTCCAATTACGTTGCTCTATGCGGATAAGGGAGGTGAAGCGCCAATCAAAGTGCAGAAAAGAAATTAAGAGACCCACAAGGTTTCCCGCCGGTTACAAGGTTTCCCGCCGGTTTCTTTCTTTCCTATCTATCTATCTATCTATCTATCTACATCTACATCTACTAGATTGTGGCCCGGCCGATTGGCCGGGTAGTTTTTTTGTGAATTAATATTTTATTTTATAAAAATTCTAAACCGTGGATGAGTGTCTAAATCTCTTAGTTTTCGTTAGAAAATATTAAATTTTTTGAAAATTGTTATAATTGGAAAATTTAGTAAAGATATCTAGAGACAAAACTACATATTAAATTAATAAAAATTTTAAGCTCCATCTTAAAATTATAAGATACCTTGTATTAAACTAAGTGGGACTTTGAAGATAAAAATAATATGATTTTACTTAATATATGAAGTTAATGAGGAAATAAACAATTTCATATAGGCTAAAGTTAAAAGGATATTCATGTTAATTAGTTTCTATAATTAAATAAAAAGAATTAGTTTCGACTTTCAAATCCATTGATGAATTAATTATTTGTGTGCCCATAATATACGCCCCTTAATCAATAGTTTATTTTTGTCTCCGTCTCTTTCTTTCTTTAACGAATTTCTTCTTCTTATTTTTTTTTTATGTAAAAGAACTTAGGGGTCGTTTGGAGAACAGGATTCAGGACATGGATTCACTGAATCCATAGATTTTGTAGAAAGTTATGTTTTTTTGTTGCTTTTTATATTGTAGATTCTAGCTTTAGAGATTTCAAATCTCTAAAATCTGTGGATATTAAATCTCTCCTAATCAGAGAGATTCTAAATCTTGATTCGTAAGATTTTTTTTTCTCCTAGTTTTTCTCTTACTTTTATTTATTTATCAAATGAAATATATTTATCAACAAAGTTTTTAATATTTTTTAAACCACTCTAATTTTTTATTAAGGATAAACATGTTATTTAATATAAAATAATTTTTTATTTTAATTGAATGTTAACAATCACAGTTACCAAACAATAAACATTTTAAAATCTGTTTTCAACAATCCAAAGAGTTAGAATCTTTAGATTGTTGACAATCTGTAGATTTAAACTCATATTCTCCAAACAATGTTATTATTAAAATCCAAATTTTTATTGCTCTATCGAAAACCCAATTTCTATAAACTTGTTGTTGGAAAGGATAAGAATATGATACGAAACTCCATTCTACAATACCTATAGAACTTTAATATGTAACCACCTATTAAAATCCCACATAACGGCCCACAACTCATATAAAAATAAGATGGATGGACTGTTAGTTTCGTGCCCCACTTTCTTTTCTTTGACTAACGCGAATTTAGAAAACATGGGAAAGATTTTTTACCAATCAAATGCAAATTTTTCTAATCTTCCATTTTTTATAATTGAGTCATATCTCTTTTGTTTTAACTCAAAAAAAATTTTAAAAAATTTACATATAAAGAATGCATTAATTATGATAGACACAATGATATTCATTTTGCTACATTTTGGGCAAAAATATTAGTGATCATACCACTTTCATATTATGAAAATATTAGTGATCATAAGAGCAAAATAAATTAAAAGGAGGAAACCTACAACAAAAGGGAAATAATAAATTTAGTGTCCAGGTGGCTTTAAAAGAAAGATTGAAATTCCACAAAATTAGTGATTTGTTTTTAGTATAAGATATGGAATAGTGGTCGTGGCCTTGTAGAAATGGAGAAAATTAATTGGTGGGATTGTAAGATGTTAAGGGGAAAAAAAGTAACCGCTGCGGACGATTTTAGCGAGAAGGCAGGGAGAGGAGAAGACTAATTAGTCCCTCCGACTTATGCGGTTTAAACACCATCGGCTGATGTGGCAATACTTGTTTATTGACATTGCCTTATATGTTTGTGTAGATCTATCTATCTCTACACACTAATATATAGACATTCCACCGGAGGATGGGGTTAAACTGGAAAAGGAGGGCCTGTGCGCATTTGAAGGAAGGTTATATGTGTCATTCTACTTCTCTTTTTTTATTTAATTATGATTTGTGTCCTTCTACTTCACATTTAATTTGCTCTAAGATATTATAATGACGTCAGGTACCATAATTGCCTGAGTTTGGGCTTTTTGCATGGTATTTCATATTTTGATCTTCACATAAATAAATTGGTCTTCACAAAAAAAAAGAACTTCTAAAAATGTGTTCTCAAGCGAATATTAAAACAAAAACTACATGACAAATCTAGACAAATTTCACATTAAATAAGAGAGAAATCTATAATTCTTAAAGAAATCAACATTAATTAACAAGACATGTTTAGCTAGAGGTGAAATGAAGCCTTCACCAAATATTTCGCAGTTTGAAAGCAGTAGCTACAAAATTGATTACTTTATTTACTGATTATATGCCTCAAAAAATATTCCGAATGAAAAATCATATAATTGACAAAACAGTGCTTCAGCTCTATTTCCAAACATCTCATGTAAAAAAGAGTTGAGATTTTGATGCATAACCTCCTTTAGTTACTGTTGGGACAAATATCAATAGCTATAGTTAAGAGTTTTTCAATTTCTTGCAAATTCAACAAACTATATCTCATTCATTTTAACTCTGCTTTATAAAACAAAAATTTATAAAAATCATATGAATTGAAATGTGCCAAAGAAATGTTGAAGAATACTATGATCATATCAACTCTTAATTGTAAGAATTTCAATATATCAAATGGTGTCGATTTCGATCATTGTTGACTCTTCTTTGATCTCACGCACCCTGATATACACCTGAGAATACTAGTAGATGATTAGTACTGAACCCTTAATCAAACTACATCATTAGTAGGAGAGAATTCATTGCACCTGATAATTATATCCTTCGAATTCAAATTAAATTAAACAAATAAAAATTACGCAAGTAAATAAAATAAATTGGACATTACCTATTACGAAATAATAAATTTTTGTACATTGCCATGCTGTTATCTTTTCAAAATTGACCTACATACTTTAAAATAAAAATATGTTTTTCATCACGAATTTTTAAAACTAGATAAGTTAGCAATTTTTTTTAACAGTAATAAGTTACCATTTTTTTTTTGACAATAATAAGTTACCAAGTTCAATGAAGGCATGATCATAATTCTTTCAATTCGTTTCCTTTTTATCTCAATTTTGTTGGAGAATTTACTCAAATCCATTGAATTGACGACATAAATAAAGAACTGCAGCACAACCATTGGAAAGGTTGAGCTACACCTTAGATATATAAACTCAACTCTATTCTTTGTGATTCCATTCCATGAACCCACATCAACCAACAACAATGAATACTTCTTCAACTTGGTTCTTTTCTCTTCTTCTCACGTTTCTTTCTTGTTCTTCATGCTTCTCAATCGCTTTAAGAGTAAGAGGTTTAGAGAAGCAAATCAATTCGACTATCTCTCTCTTGAACATTACTCCAGGCCCTTCTCTTCAGCAGTTTGGTCATTATGCTGGATATTACTCCCTTCCCAACACTAAAGCAACCAGGTAAGTAGCTAAATGTCCGTGATAAGAAGTCCCACCGTTTGATTGTTTTCTTCCATGATTTTCAGGATGTTCTATTTTTTCTTTCCGACGAGGGGGAATAATCCGAACGCTCCGGTAGCAATATGGCTGAATGGAGGACCAGGATGTTCCGGTGAAATATCACTGTTCTATGATAATGGCCCTGTACGCCTTAATCCAGATCTCACCCTTGCCTGGAACGCATATGGTTGGGACCAGGTATATATGTTGAATAAACCAGCCAACTCATGGAAATTATATATGACATCCACTATATATGCAATTTCTCGTAATTAAGAATTATGGTTTTTAATATGAAACCAAACTACCAGGATTTGTGATAGTCAGGAGGTCTTCTATACTCGAATTCTCGTTTCAGATATCATCAACAGTTGATTAATGCACAATGACGTTCGACGTTTTCTCTGTAAACTCCAAGCCCATAAATACAAATTTTTGTCCCAATTCATTGCATGCACCAATATTGGGTTCTTAAAAATTAATCCATGATCACATATTTGGAATTTCTCTTATATTTGCCCACTCTCATATGGTGTGAATATCCAGTCAAAGTACTTACTGGTTGTTGATTGATATTTACCAGTAAAATTTGTGTTTTTTTTTTTTTTGTCATTTCAGTAAATTACATAACTAATTAAGATTTATTCCAATTTTTACGTGTGAAAGCAAGGAAATTAAATACCAAAAGAACCAAGAACAAGCATATACATGGATCCCATATTCATATTTAACAGACCATTTATACTTCCCAGCAGGTGTTCAACATTATTTACGTGGACCAGCCAACCGGCACCGGATTCAGTTACTCCACCGATCCCGGCGACACCCGCCACGACGAAGCCGGCGTTACCGACGACTTGTACACCTTCTTGCAGGTCCGTCCGTACACATCTTCAACAATTACGTTATCACTCCTTTTAGAATTTTACAATGGGTACAACTTGAAGTTTTACATTAACGTTATGGTATAATTTCAAATTGTACCTATATTTTTTTTATAAATTTTTTATTGTACAACTTTAACTTGTACATTTATATGCGGTACAACTTCAAGTTATACCATTACATAACGGTACAAATTTTTTTATGATACAACCTAAACTTATACATTTAAATTATGATACAACTTCAAATTATACATTTAAACAGATAAACCTAAACTTACCATTATTTATATAATATTTAGCTGTTTTTCAAAGACCATGCTGAACATGCGAAGCGCGACTTCTACATCACCGGAGAATCGTACGCCGGCCACTACGTCCCTGCCCTGGCTTCCCGCATTTTCAAAGCCAACACCAACGCCGGCGAGGAAATAATTCGTATAAACTTGAAGGGGTTCGCCATCGGCAACGGGATCACCGATCCCGCCGTCCAGTTCAAATCCTACCCAGATTTCGCACTGTCGTCAAAACTGATCTCGCAGTCCGATCATGATTCCATCGCCAGCCAGCTGGTTCCCCCATGTTTGACCGCGGTAACAAATTGCGGTAATTTGAAAACCTCGCCACCTCAATCAATTTTATTTTTCCGGTGGTAGCAGGTAATAGTATCACTCTTTGAATGAAGCAGGTTCTCAAGGCGGCGCTGCTTGCACGGACGGATTCGCGACTTGTATGAACGTTTTCAACGCCGTGACCAAGATAATCGGCAATACCAGCGTAAGTAACTAGCTAACTTGGTCACATTGATTATTTTTGAGAAAATAGATCAGACGCTTAAAAAAAATCGTAAACCAAATAAGATCGAATAGTTTGGTGCGTAGATCGTTACGAATGATCTCATGTGGTTCATGATTGGTATTATTATGGGATGTATTGATTTTTTGGTCTGGTATAGTTCAGACCGTGGTTTACTGGATCAATCTACAGATCCAACCCACTTCCCAATTTGTGTTAGCATCTCATTTGGCCACTCTTCATGATCCATAATACCTTACCGAAAAGTCAGCGTTAGGGTATTTTACGGCAAATCGTGATTTAACCGTAGTTCAGTCGTTAGTACCGTTAAATACCACATATAGGTTTATCCTCTGATAGTGATATTTTGTGGTTGAACAGCCGATACAGTACAAGTTTCATGTACCATGCCACTCTCTCAATTAATTAACGAGATAAAAATTTCAACCCTAATTTTTGCGAATCTTGCCTCCTCCTTCGTTCATAAACCACACTCCAGTCATATACTAGAGACAATTGTTTCTCTATATCATATTATGTTGACATTTATGATATATAGTGTAAGTTGGACTGCTTCAACTTTGTGTTTTTCTTTATTTAATAGGATTTGTTGTATCAAAATTATGCATGTGTGTTGACATTTATGTTTTAAGGGGAGAAAATTATTGGTTATTGATTTGATTTTTTCGTGTGGTTGACTAAACAAAACTATTATTTGTCATTTAACGTGATCTACCATGATAAGACCTTACCCGATCATACCATGTATGCGTAATCTGGTCTGAACGATATAGTATTTGGTCTAATCCCTAATTTATACTTCAACTTCTTGGTATGGATCATAATTCATAGTTCGTATGCATTGTTTCCCAACCCTACCCTATATTATCAATTTTTATTGATAAAAATGAGTTAGAAGTTTCCCTGTGAAATTTCTGCCCTGCAGTGGTTCGACATCAGAAAGCACTGCGCCGACCACATCTGCCTGGACCGGACCAGAATGGATCAATTCCTGACCGACCCAAAAGTCAGGGCGGCCATCGGCGTGGCGCCGGACTACGACTTCGTCTACTGCAACCTCACGGTCTACGGCGCAATGAGAGGGGACTGGCTGGCGGACCTGAAACTCGGCATCCCGGAGCTCCTCCAGAGCGGGATCAGGGCGCTAATCTACGTCGGAGAGTACGATCTGATATGCAATTGGGCCGGGAACTCCGAGTGGGTCAATGCCCTGAACTGGTCGGGCCAGCCGGGGTTCGATGCGGCTCAAACGGTGCCGTTTGTATTGGGAGGAAGGAAAGCAGGGGAGCTGAAGAGCTATGGGCCCTTGGCGTTGCTCAAGGTTTACGACGCGGGTCATATGGTTCCGATGGACCAGCCGCGGGCCGCGTTGCAGATGATTCAGAGTTGGGTTGAGGGTGGGCTCGGTTAAGAGCCTAGATGGCTGGGTCTTTGCTGGCCGTGGATAAATGGACATGGAAATATTGGGCCGTCCTGGGCTAAGTCCATGGGCTGCTGTCATTTACATGATTATCATTTATTAGCACAACCAGCCCATGCAATTCCGGCCTATTCTATAATAATGAACAATAACTTGTTTGTTTGTGGCCAAAAAGTCCCTGAGTTTGTCGCTTCGGGTCCTGTCGAGGTT